ACATTGTGGCATTAACCATACCATACGGGTCAGGGTTAAATCGTGTTCCTTTTCGGTTACCTGCCTTTGAAGATCTGAGAAATTCTGCTCAACGGAGGAGTTCAAGTTAACAACCTAATTGAGTGCTATGGCAAAGCTCTTGCCGATTAACTTGCTTATGACCATAGGCTTAGAACAGGGAAGTACCAAAGTTAATGTGGCTCACGTAGCCATGAAGCTAACGTGAGAAGCATCGTGCATGAATCGTCGCGTATCGTGCAGCCTCAATGGGGCTGCAGGGGCGCGCTCTTCATTGATTGGGTAGTCTCCGGCAAAGTAATGACGAGGTATCCTGAGTGCCCAACCAATAGTCATCTGCATTGATGAGTAGAGATCACAACAGCGATAGCGCTTTTCTGGTGTGCCAATATGTATTTGGAACTTCGCAAATACAATTCTCGAAGCGTAATTCTGATGATCGTGTGCACCAAACATTAGGAGACGCAAATTGATGAAAGGATCGGAGGTGGTGCATGGTCAAGGCTCGGGATCCACTCGAAAAAAAAAGAAAAAAAAAAAGAAAAAAATAGCGATGTGTTCCCTCAAACGCGAGCGCGATGCAGACACGCTTTTCTGATAATTAATCTTATCTGGAAATCGAGCTTTCTAAGCCTCTGGTCGGGTCTAAGAATGCAGTGAAAGCCGGTAGCCTGATCGTCGCGGGTGCCCACACCGCCCAGACTCCCGAAAAGCTCAGACCACGGCAGATACATCAGCCCATATTCAATGAGGCGAGTCCCTTTTGTACTACGCTTATGTGCGGCTTCAAGCAAATTGTCGATGATTGGCTCTTGTGGAAAACAAACAAGGGAATCGGGGAACTCTGGAGTGCACCAAGTGATAATTAGGCGCTGCGTCTGCTCAGGGTACACTGGCGCGCACAGATTAGTCGTTGCGGTGACAGCGACACCATGGTGGTAGCTACCGACATAGATGTTGTAGAATCGGTTGTGCACCAGACCCTGATTTCTTCGAATCAAGCAAGCCCGAATGGTCCTATGATCTTTCACTACGCGGTGATCATCAGTAAGCACATATAAAAATAAAAAATAAGAATCAAAATCAAACTGAGCTAGAGATCGCTTCTGGCTAATTCAGGGGACAGGACGCCCCTCCTAACCCCGCGATGCGCCCCACCTTCTTCTCGTGGCTTGTTACGGACTCAAAGCACCAGAGAGGAGATGGGGGAGGGGGGGGGGGTTGACATCACTGATGCAAGCAGGTTCGGAACTTTAGAGTCAACGGAGTATACTTCCATCTCATTCGCTTCGTACAGATGGTCCAAACATGCCAACCTCTCAGGCTAACATCCAGATGCGCTGCCGAATACTCACGCGTCCAAGCCTTCAAGCGCACCAAGCTTGTGCCTGTGTCGGGCTGGCGGGCTGGAAGAAAGCCAGCATTCCAGTCGATCAGACCAATGAGAGCTCACCGTCGAGGCTGGGTAGCTGAGGGAGGTATCCGCTCAGCCCATCGCAACTGACGCCCTCTCACGCTATTTGTCCCGACGTACTTCTTTGCTGAGACATTCATCGCCGTCTAATCCTCCATCAACCATTTTTCGTCCTGTCTCGCCGCACAGTCGATAGAATTAAGTGCAAATCAATGGTTCGTCGGTACGAAATCGATTCCTGCGGCGATGTGGTGCTGGAGCTCTGGCTCCCCCCCGAACCTTTCGCGCCATGGATCCCAGATCTCCAGACGTGGCCGAACCCAAAAGAAGACAATAGCCAGTGTAGCTTCCACTTCCACGAAGTGGACCCTGCCCCAAAAATGGACGACTATGTTTCTGTAGATGAGGACGTCTATGACGTGCGTCACGACGAGGAGGCCGTGGAATCTCCTGCGATCATCCATGACAGAGTTGCACATGAGCTTCTCGATCCATCATCAGGGACAAGCGCATCCGCCGAAGAGCCTGCGTTCGCCGAATCGCCTCCGATGATGAACGCCGACGGCAATCCGGCCACGGATCAGAACGAGGAGCTAGCCTCAGAACCGGCAGCCCGTTTCCTCTTGTCATCGAAGCACCTGACGCTTGCCAGCCCGTATTTCAAGACGACCTTGGGCGGCGTATGGCGTGAGACCAGAAACAAGTCATCGTCGGAGTTGCTCACCACACTGAAAGGATTCGATGTCGATGCGACGCTGATTCTGATGCAAGTTATCCACGGGCAATTGCACGAAACACCGACTGCGGTGACGTTAGAGCTTCTTGCCAAGATTTCCGTTTTGGTCGACTATCTCGGATGCCACCAAGCATTTAGATTCGTATCGCGGATTTGGTTTGCGGAGATGACCGTCTCGCCGCCGAATCATTACGGTCGGGAATTGGTGCTCTGGATACTGATCTCGAAAGTTTTCAGCGAGCCCAAGATTTTCGAGACAACCACGAAGACAGCCATTATCTCGAGCTATGGTCGTCTCCAGACAATGGAACTCCCTCTGCCGAATGCATTAATTGGTAGGCTTGTCGTCTACATTATCTTGCGGTATAACTAATACAGAGCAGATGCCATGGAGACACGTAGACAAGATGCTGTTAGACGAACCATAAAATTACTCTACGATCTTCGCCATTATCTCAGCGGTAATCGTGCCAGATGCAAGGGTGACTGTTCGCAAATTCTTTTCGGAGACTTGTCGGCACACATGATGGACACAGGTATACGGGAGCTACAGGAGAACGGAAGCATAGGCTGCAGCTTCAAAACTCTGGCAACAGTGGTCAGTGGTTGGCGGTCTTCGACCTGGGATCTCAGACCCTCTCGGTATGAGAATTGGACGAAACATCCATGCTCGCTTTCGGCCTTCCTTCTGACGAAGCTTGAGGAGGTCGAAAAGCACACAAAAGGTCTGTCTCTTGAAGATTTCCCAAACCGCCAAGCACGTTAGCCGCGATCTCAGGATCTCCGGAGACAGTCACTGCAGCAGTAGATTTGTATTTAAGGACCTGTCAGAAGGGCTGCAGTATGTGTCACACGATTCATGTTATTCAGTAGGTGAGATGTCTTTAGCAAATTGGAAAATTTCGTCATTGGCAGTTGATCCCCGGAGACGCCCATCTTGACATCGCGCGTGAAGATGGACTACTTGAAATAGGACCAACGGCGACGGAAAGTCAGAGTCGCCGCATAAAGGTCGCTGCTTTTCACGCCGCAGCCTAAGGTCGAGATCTCACCTAATTTCTCGATGGCGCCTGGCTGTATTACTGCCTCGTCATCGCGGTGAACCAAATCGGTGTATAGGGCATCATGTCGCATATGTTGAACGCTTGGGTACATCAAAGGAGGAGAAGGACACAACTCGGTTGATCAACCTAGGCAATCTGTTGAACTCCGCGACCTTTCAGGTGCACATCAAATGTGTGGGAACCGCATCTCAAGCCGTGTGGGTGAAGTCGGTAAAGTAACAGTATGTCAAGCGCTCACTATCAGTGGCATGCTTGCGTAACAGGTAACAAACGTTTAGACGGACTTGTGTGAGTAATTCAGACGCAATTGGTTCCTAACGCACTAAACGGGCCGCCCTTGGTCAGCAGATTCGAAATCCGACTACGAGCTCGACACCCCGCCATCCCGAGCTGTTATGGCGACCACGGTTCTTCGATTGTTTCAAGTTATCGACCCTGCCTTGAAGGAGGCCCTGTCCGGAAGGACTTTCTCCTAGACTGTTCCTTGTGGGTACTGACGACTATGGCATCGCCAAGTTCCCGCAGCAACGTGGTGTCAGCGACATGGTTGCGTGTGTGAGGGGTTGAATAGCCCTACTCCAGTGCCTCGCGATGCAGGGCTGGTAATGGCTTTGAACGAGTGGCATCTATCTCATGTGGGGAAATCCTGGCCCGACTACGCGTTTGACTGAGTAATGACTGTATGCGGTGAGTTTCATTTAAGCGAGGGCATCCTAGGTCCTGTCACCAGGGCTGTCAAGACGAACCCTGTGGCGAACCCGGTCAGAGCAATGCTGTACAGTTGCAGACCCCCATCCAAGTGTTTTCATCCTCCACTTGAGCCGAATCCTAGAGCCTCACTTCCTCGTGGTGATCTAGAACTACTGCTCTGTATACTATCATCAAAAGTTCAATCTGAGAAGCGAGGTAGTCGGTGTCTCCAATCGAGTCAACCAATGCCATAAAACTTTCACAGCTTTTCTGACGTCTGATCGCAGTGACTGCTTCAGCGTTATCTTTCAAAGGCTTACAAAGGCTCGTGATCATCTTTTCTAATATAAGCTGCGAACTCTCCCTCGGTGGCGTAGTGAGGAGAGCCCAAAACTCAGAATGCCTTTTAGTCACCATTTCTGTGATCTTGGGATCACACATGGTCAGGATATCCTCGAAGATCCTGCCGAAGCTCGCATGACTGCGCCTTCGATCCTGCTGACCTAGATCTTTGCAGGCATCATGGAAGGTATATGGGTTTGCATCCACGAAACATCGACTCTCGCTACATTTTTCCAGCCACTCTATCCCTAGGATTTTGAGATCCCGCTCCTTCGCATCTTTGATGAACCGGCCACCACTCTCAAAACAGAGTTCTGTAGTAACAACATGAGTTGCTTTCTCTAAGTCGGCAGTAAAACTGGCGCCAATGGTATGAATGAGTTTTTTGACTTTGTCGTGATTCTGAGGCTTTTTGAACCTTCCTCGGAGGGCCACGCAAGGTAGTGTGTGTTCAGTCATGAGTACACTATTTGAGGCCAAGAGCTCGCCAGTGTTGTGCCAATTTATAGACTATATTACAAGTCTAGAACGATCTTTCTTCACTACTCGCTCACTCTTGACAGAAAATGGAGCGTAGAATCATGTACAAAAATTGATTGATCGTGGTGAATTTAGTCACTATAACAAACTGATTCGCGGCAGTAGCTTTTTGGACCCGGATAAACAATTCACGCATGTTGTTCAGCAGCGTAATCCGGCGTAGAGACACTTTAATCATGCCACTAAACATGTCACGTTAACCCTACTGATTACATTAGCATCACACTATAGTCAAGAGCGAAGTAGAAAATCTAAGGACGACGGTACAGTATTAATTACTCCATACCCTTACGGCGTTTCGATAGGTCGACTAAATCGTACGCCTCATCATCGGCCAAGACTATTGCCGGCTGTTGGTGTGATGATTCCTCAGCCATAAACCTGAGATGGCGTTAGGCCTCTCTTCTCAATATCAAGCATCGGGTAATATGCGCGAGAAGTCATCAGTTGGAAGACGATACAATCATGCCAACCCTACTACATAAACTCTAACCGGGTTACGTCAATATTCCAAACTCGAGTCGAAGAATGAGCTATACCCATCGCTCACTTGTCTTCTCCATGCAAAGCTTCCGAGCTATTGGAGTGACGTTCGTGAGCCAGATCCAACGCATGAGGAAGTTCTTGGTTTACTCATTTCTTGGAGCAAACAACGTGATGCTGGCTATGATGAGAAGCAAATTATGGAAATTTTGGGGTGGGGTATTTTGGATGAAGGTTTTTCTAGGGAACAACGTGATATCTGATGTAGGAATTAATCGGACCTAGAAGTCTGCCTTGTCGCTGTCCACTCATTCGAACTTGCCATCTACATGACTCAACTACCAAATGACTATGACGTGAACATTGCTGTCTCTCGTCAGAGGTGTGTGACTTGAAGATGAATACTCATTCGTATTCGAATGGGAGATTTGAGACTTATTTGTCTTATATCATTCAGACCTTGTTTCAGCCCTGCGTTCTCAGGCAAGGCAATGTTTAGCGAGCTAATACATTCGCTCCTTTTCGGGGGTGCGGCTATATAAGAATGCTCTTTCGACTGTTATACTCTACGAAAAAGTGATTCGGATAGAACCTCGCATGCTGGAAAGTCAGCAT